TATTCCTGACATCATGCTAGAGACATAGTAGCAGTTTAGCAGATGCATTTATTCACTATTTATTGAGCATCTATTATGTATAAGACAATTGAATTAAGAAATTTCAGTGGATTGAGTTGTACACATCTCTGTATTTTCAGCTGCCAGTTTCTGGTTAGTTGACGGAAAAGTTCCAAGGACTTAGCCGGGTTCTACTTTGAGTGGAGGGACTAAGGGGAGGACGTGAACAAAGGCCCTGGGGTAGGGAGAAGGCTCGTGTCCTGATCAAACTTTCAAGGCCTGTAGAGCTGATCCTGTTGATAAGAAAGGAGGAGACACTCTTTTCTTACACAGCCTGATTCAGGTGAGCATACATGCCCGTAAAAGGATACAAATGTGTTTTAGAAGTTAGGTCGTATATATTTTTTCCTCTATCGGCAGGTGATTGTCGATGAACAGAACCTGGATTTCCTGTTGGCATATACTATCTCTGCTATTCAGCAGTGTAGTTCCTGGACACACATGGCAGTTCTTTAAGCCCTGGCTGCTCTGGTTTACTGCAATGGCTCAAAGTGTCAAAAGGTAACAAACTGTATTCTGTCTTCCCTTTGAAATGTTAGGAGTACAGGCTCTGGAGCCAACAGACCCGTGTTCAGGTTTCTGTCCTGCTGCTGATTAGATGTATAACTTTGAGTAAGATGTGTAACCTTGAAATATTTGCATAGTAGTCAGTCTTTTGGTGTTTATCTGCCTTGTAGATGAAAATGAAATCTGTCTAACAAATAATGTTCTCTGAGAACCTTTTGTTTGACCAACATTGGCTGTTATTTTGTTTTAGTATCTCCCAGACTTGGTAGGCAAGACTGGACTCTTGATGAAGTTGAGTGACCCAGCTCAGTCTGACCCTGAAGTGAGGAGGGCTGCAGTGCACTGTATGGCAAACCTATGTCTCAGGTATGTGGAGCCAATCAGGTTTTGCAGTAGTAATGATACAGGCCCTCTCTTGGGCTCTTTGTAGATGGTTCAGTCCATCTGTTGGAGAGCCAACCTAGAAAAATAACCTACTTTGCGTTTCCCGTGTCCTTTACTAATAAGATCATATTATATCGTTTGTTTCTAATTTTAGTATTGTTTTTAAAGGAAGCTTATAAATAAACGGAAGAAAAATATACACCAACACTTTGTCCCTAAAACAGGGTAAAAGTGATAATATTTGCAGTATGTCAAGGTTTTGTTTTCTATTGGTATAAATTCTAACCATGTTAACTCATTTAGAAAGATACGTTTGTAAGAATTTAAGCTGTGGTGAGACTTCTGTCAAGGCCAGTCTCTTCTCTTTTAAGAAAATGGAAGTAGTTCCAGCTGCCCAGTTCTAGATTCATGCAATAGAAAACGAACAGCACA